GAGAGTACCGTTTCACCCCTAATATATATATATATATATATATATATATAAACACACATTGGTTTCCATGTTTTATGAGGACGTTTCATATGCGTAATTGTGTTTATACTGTAGCCTATGTATAAACTGTATTTTCTACCCCCTTATACTAACCCTACCCCTAAATATACCCCTCACATAAAACATTTAGCTATTTTAGATTTTTTTTTTAAACTTAATTCTGTATCATTTAAAAGCTTGTTTCCTCACAGGGACCAAAAACTTCCAAATTGACTGGTATTACTATACTTGTGGGGACATTAGGGAATACCAGGTACACACACATTTGTTTCACACTTCTTAGGTGTCAGTGTCTATCTGCTGTTCTAAACTTGTCTGTGTTTGAGGTTTGGCTCCCTGAGTAAATTCTTCAGAATAGAGTGTAATCTATAGTTGTAGATAAAGAAATTAATTAAAGAAATAAAAACTTGTCAGTAATTATATTGTTCTCACCAGAAGAAATGTTCACCACCAGAAAAATCACAGCGCAAAAGAATGTTCGTTCATTTGAGAGTGACGCCACCCACAAAAATTCTTGTTTTTTCTTCCATTCTTTTGGGTAGACATTAGGACCGCGCAGACTCAACGGCTGGAGCGATATATTACTCCAGTATACGTGCCCTAAACAACGGGGAACGAGGAATCGACCCGGAGATTATCTAGCCGACGAGTTTTTGCACTTCTGATCCAAAGGAACCGGTGTGAATGGAGTTTACGAATCTCTTCCTCAACACTGAACACATTTTATCCACATAAATTATATCTTCCCTGGCCGCAGAAAGTGTGTGGCTCACTTTCTTGCTTTTCCCGTGGAGGAGGACCCACTGTTGATCTTATATTCCCCTCTCTCTTTGTGCGCCCTCCCGGTTCTCCATTCGCCAGACGCGGAGCAGAGCCGCATTACCATCATCATCAGCGCTCGCGCTGCCTCTGTGTCTCTGCGCGTGCAGTCAGGACCCGTGTGCCCTGCTATCCCACCACCATGAATTCGGATATTAACATGTACTTGGGGCGAGAGAAAGCGGGGATCATGCGAAAGAGAGCCCTGCTACTCAGGAAAGGCTGCAGTTTCGAAATAACGAGGTGAGTTGATATAAGGGGAAGGGGCTTCTTGTGGGGAGTGGGCATTCTGAGAACACCGCATCATCCGGATACCGGATGGTGGGGTTGTAAATGATCACAGCAGTGTGTAGGGCATCTGAGATAGACATGTTTTACTCAAGTGTGTGGGTTTGGACGAGCTTTCGGAGGGATTTGGCATGGACCAGTAGCATATTAAAGGGTCTTAAGGCTGCCGCTAGGGATCTCAGAGTCAACAAAGCTGACATGATTGTCAGCATATATTGCCAAAGCATATACAGCACTCAAAGTATTGAAATAGACAGAAAATAGAATCGAATAGAAAATACAGAATACTGATAATACAGAAAATAAATAGAGTGGGGTAAATAAATGTATGAAAAGAAGGAAATAAAAGAAAGGAAAAATAGAATATAATGGCGTGAATTTAAATACATACATTCACAAATACATATAGGCCTATAAACACAAGCTTGCTTTTCACTTCATATGAAGACACTACACATGAACTTCATCTCCAGAGCTGCTCTTAATCACTTCACAAGCATTTAATTTGATAAAAGTATCATCAAATAGAGCACAGAAAATCAAAGTTCTTGATATACAGACATATATATATATATATATATATATATATACATATATACACACACATGCACACATAAATACACACACACACACACGTGTATATATATATATATATATATAATGACTGACTGATACTGTCGTAGCAGGGTTTGTGGGTTCTTGGGAGTTTAAAGCGAGTCCTGGTCCATTAAGCACTGAGACATCAGCCTCTAACAGCAATAACTAATTTTTTCCATTGGGATTCCCTGTGAACATTTGAGAGGGGATCCGGGTTTTCTGCAAAACAGGAGGTGTACTCAGACAGCTATATGCTATGATGGAGAATGGTTCCTTCCTATAAATGCGCACCTTGAGTATCGACTCGTTGTTCTTGTATTTGCAAGAGGATTGTGTTTTCAGTGTCCCATTTCTCTCAATAAAAGTGAAGGGATAAAATGATAGCAGTGTTAAAGCTCATGCGCAATAATGGTAGTGCATCAGTGGCACACACACCAACAAAAGTATCAGAGGTTTAGCACATGAGCTGTAGTGTGTCTGTGTGTCAAAAATGGAGAGAGAGAGGTCACACCCCATTTTGGCCTATAGCCTGTGTTGGGACCATCTTGATGTAGACTGCAGTGTTATGCTGAAACAATACTTTATGTACAGTACAGCATATTTCTGCTGAATCTTAGGTAATTTTTGAAACGAGAGAGTCTGTATGTACAGTAGCCTAATGCAAGTTCCCTAATTCTGTGTCTTTGTTGCTCTTTGTGGAGTAGAAATTGACAACATTACAATCATTTTACATGTTATTTTAATTGATCAGTAGGCATATAATATGCCTGGTCAGTTCTGGTCTTCATATTTAACTGTGGAAGCACTCTAATTACTCCACTTGTCCGTGTTTGTGTCAATCTGTGCTGTAGTCAGTGGTGGACGAAGTACACAAATCAAGTACTTGAGTAAAAGTACAGATACGTATAATAAAATATTACTGAAGTAAAAAGTACGATCTTATGCTTTGGAATGTAGTGAAGTAAAAGTAAAAGTTACTCAAAATAAAACTACTCCAGTAAAGTACAGATACTTGAAAAATGTACTTAAGTACAGTAACGAAGTAAAGCTACTCCGTTACTGTCCACCACTGGCTGTAGTGGTGGAGATTTTTCAGAGACCCTTTCTGCAGGTTATATAACTACACCAGTAGGTGGAGACAAGTGCATGACTTAATCAGTAAATTGTTGAATCATTCAATCCAAACAGATTACTTCAAGTCACTGATTCATTCAGGAACAAAACAAGTGACTGCCTTTTGAATGAGTCATTGAATCATTTACTCAACTGATTTGTTCAACAACACTGATTCATTCATGAACTGAACAAGTGACTGTCTGCATCTGAATATTAATAGTTCAGTGGGGGATAGTATGTGAAAAACATAACATGTCCATATTCACAGTATTCATAAAACAACAGTCAAAAGGTTCCAAATGACCTACAACGTCCATTCTAAATTATGCATCCAATATACACTTTACTATTCCATGAGGCCAGGGGAGAGGATTTGTGAATGGAAGTAAAGCGACACAACTGATGCTAAGAGAGGTCACATGACAATGAATGCAGTACATCAGTTCAGATTACATTCATACAAAACACATTCATACTCTTTAGAACACACTTTTTTTTAACATTTGCAAAACAAGTACTTATTCAAAAGTACTTACTCAGGGAGTATGTGATTTCAGACACAGCCAGGGTCTTTAAGATTGTGTCAATGAACCATTCATTCAACCAGGTCAGTTAATTCAGGTACAAATCAAGTGAGTATTGCTTGGATACACAGCAGCTAATTCTGCCGTTTTTAGTTCATTGAGTAAAATTAGACAAACTGACTAAAAATTATCTCATTATTAACTTATTGTATGTTGAACCATTACTGTATAAAAGCAGTATCACACAAGCAAGAGTGCTGTTGGTCTGAATATCACCACAGCTGTGATTATTTGAAGCACTCACAGGTAATTACTTAGACAGAAACATGAAGTCTGTAAAGTGTGACCAAAATGGCTTAATATCTTCGATGGGCTCCATGGAATGTACCTTATTTCTTTAACCTTAAGTTCCACAAATCTCTTCCCATATAAACCACAAATTACATTCTTCCTAAACAAGCAACAAATTACTCCTTCGGGCAGACTTATTGTGCACAGACAAGGACATTGATGAGGAGGAGAATGCATCAGCCTCTAACAATGTGTAGGCGAGAGGCCCACAGCTTTCACTCCATTCCTCCGTACTGTTTTATCGTGAAGACATTTTCTCAAGTGGCAGAGGATAACTTGATCATTCAGTTGTTTTGAACGCCACACACAAACACACATGCACAGTATTGTGCATCTATTTCCATAGAAGGTCTGGTGAAATGCTGTGAAATTGTTGAAGGCTGTTTACAAAACATTGCTGTCCATTATGGAGTTCTAGTCGTATGTCTGTAACAGCTTTTCTATTTTGCTCGTTTGTTTCCTTTTTTCCCTTCTGTAGTGAAATTTCTTCTTTAATTACAAAGTCCTCCTTTCTCTCTCTCTCCTGCTTACAAGGTCCTCTCTGTGCTCTTTTATGCATATTTATTTTGCTTTCTCTGTATCTACTTTTTTTGTAGCCCCTCTGTCAGGAATTAGTTGTAAACAACTCTAAAGTGAACTTTAATTTCCTCCACATTATAAATCATTCGAGAAACAAAGATACCTTTGTTGTTTATTCTTGTCTTTTTCATTCCTTCAAAAATTAATAGTTAAACATACTATAATAATAAAATATTAAGTGTAAGAAATTGAAAACCAATGTTATTATCAACTCCAGATTCTCACTTACTATTACTAAATAATGATATTAAAAATGAATAACAACAGATAATCAAATATCATATTTCAAAGCAGACATACTGTAACATATACAATAATAGATCCCAATAATGTGATCATAGATAGTATAGCAGTGTTTTATAGCCATTTTTTCCTTTTAACTAGAGGAAAAGAGCATGAATATATTCTTGTGGTTTTGACAGTTGGTTTTGTGTTACCTGCTTCCTTTGTATAGTCGCCATGAAAAGGCAGCAATAACAGTGGACTGTTCACATTCTCCACAGGAAAATACTACAAAGGATCACTGTTAAAGTAGTTAAACACAAACCTCCACATGCACAAAATACTTTACTTAACACTTTACTTAAAAAAATTAAATAAAAGTATATAATTAATCATGTATTATATTGCATTAATATTAACAATTGTATAAGTTATTGATTTATATTTGTATAAAATAATTAATAATATATGATGAACTTTGAAATGAGAGTGAGAAAGTTCATGCATGGCACTGTTTAGAGTGTTAGTGTGGAGATGACACTCCGTGACTCAGACTGAGTAATAAGTGTATTCATGAGTGTGAATGTATATATACTGAGCAGCTGAACACAAACTCATGCAGTAACCTGAGCATGTACCTTTACAGTATCTCATGAATCTTATTTGAATCATTTGGATTGTGCCTGTGAAGAGACTATTAGAGAGAAGAATGAACAGTTCTTGCTATTTTCAACCATCTTTCTCTTTCTCTCTTTGGCTTGTGCGCAGCCAGCCCTGCAGTTTGTACCAATCTGATAATACTAGCACTACAGCTAACACTAATCACTCTCAGCTGTGCGGTCTGCATGTGCATGAGCACAACCTCCTCATTTGCAGAGAAAAATAGACGGAAATCAAGCAGGGCAATAAAAGAAAGACTCCCGCTCTGATTACAGCCCTATGTAAACTTTCATTCCGCGCCCACATATGCTTCCATTTAAGGTTTAAAGACGCATACCTACACATTAGTGTTTTTCGCTCCAGGAAGCCTCACTAGGAAAGACTCTCTTCCCATTATAGTAGCCCTGGAACGCACCCAGCGTAGGATGGATGGAGCTTTTTGGAGTTTAGCCTTTGGCCAGACCACTGTTTAAAATACTGGTGGTTGCTCCCCACCACAAGGGCATTCACACTGGGTGTGTGTAACGTAAATTTGGCAATGTGGGTTGCTTAAATTTGTGTTAGGATGGCAAGGGATCTTTGAATTGGTTAACATGAAGTTCTTCTATCAAAAAAGAGTGAAAGGCAAAGTGTAGTTACTGGATCACTGAAGCAGATGCTGTATGTGTAATTCCCACTGACATGGTGTTGTTATATGTATGTAGGCCTATTTAATTTGACTCAACAGAGACATAAAGGAAATATTTGAAAATGATAATGGCCCTTTTATGTTATTATATTGTAAAGAACACTTGTTGTTTATGTATTTACTGTCATGTAAATGCTGCACTGCTGTTTTTTCTAAAGACAAATTACAATGCTTGCTGATATCTTGTAGCTATAGGCCAGGGGTGCTAGATCTACTGT